AACTTGGAATTAGAGAGTGACTTTAACCCCTTATGATGACACCTTAAAAACTATTTGGATTCTTGCAAGCTCACTTAAGAAGTCACTTCAAAGAGCCTGCTGAAACACCTTGAGATTCACTGCAGTTTCACTTACATTTTAAGTAAGAAAAATACATCTTCTTGTCTCTTCAAGAAACCGCCAGTCAAAGTTTTTGACAGCCAAGATCCATGTGAAGTGAAAAGAGAAGTCACTCAGCATTGTTCAACATCATTTTAATCTCCACCGAGGGAAAATGATAGAAACATGTTAACACAAACAGAAGATGCTTGGGGGAGAGACCATATGGTGCTATGACAGGTTTAGTTTATAGAAATGTAATTTATAATTTTATAAAAATCATATGAAAGAATAACAACATCTCTCAGTAACGTCAGACAGTATAGAAAAAATAAATCTCAACATTAGTCGTACTCTGATGGTCCTTCTAGTAAGAAATTTAAAAGTGCTTTTTAATCCCAGTGTAGCAACTTAAGCTTAGTGCAATATGTCAAAATCTGGCTTAAAGCAGATATTTATAGCAATTGTGCAGTTCTTACAACTGACAAACCCCATCTAAACATGAACACTAAGTGAGGTAAGTATTATAAATTAGCATTAAACATTCCTGAAATAGCTCAGACAGCAACTCTACTACGAGCAAAATCTTGAGTGCTCCTTCCCAGGAAGGCTCAAACACAGACACGACGTGAAACCTGTAGTACAAATCAGGGAATACTCAGAAGTTATAAAAGCTCTTGCAAAATACACAGTTTAGTACATTTACAACCCACTGCTACAATGGAAAACATACCAACTTAAACAGAGCCAAAGTTTACAAGCAGTGCAGGGGGTTTGCTGGGAATGCACTATTTTGTTCCCAAATCCTCCTAGAAGCTCCATATAAAGCCAGCACACGAAGTTCACGTAGAAATTCCACTGGATTTTTAGATGAACAGTAATAATGAACAATTTGCTTACCAACTATGACTGCAGCTACAAGCACCATTACTCTCTGAGCAGGTGAAAAACACAAGCACTAGCTGGGGAAAAAAAGGATTTCAGCGTACCCATCAATGTTTTATACATGCTAAGTTGGAAATAGTAAGATAATAACCTGTATTTCTACATAGTTTTTGCTGCAAGGCTGCTCAGAACTCTACCATTAGCTTTGATTTGCCTGTGGTTTCTTGACTCTGTGAGTTAAAATGCACACCAAATATTGCCTTTCACGTGCAGGGCTCGTTTAAAGAGAGGCAAACACCAGACTGTTAATGTTGAGCCCTTATGGCTCATTTGCATATAGAGCCAAAGGTGTTTCCTATTCTATTTTTCCAGGTGCTTATGAGTAAGATTTAAGTCACTACCAACAACAGGAATAAGCTATAAATCAATGGCCTTTCCTTCTAACAGGCTATGGCTTCAAAGCCCTCCAACTGCACCGGTTTTTACAGTATTGCACTTAACTTTAGTGTTAAACTGACACTGAAGTCTGCGCAGAACATGTTTTACAACAATATTTCCGTTAAAAAAGCAATAAATAAAATGCAGTATCTAAAAAAACCCAAGAAACTGTGGGTTTAGTCCATATTTCCCCCCCACACACAGACAAAGCTGCACCATCTGAAACAAGGCTGGGACAGTCTTTGGATACCAACTGCATAGTTCTTTCCACAATCAGAGAAGCAATTAAAGCTTTCTACAGCACTATCAGACACAAAGACAGTACCTGTGAGTGCAGGTCTCAGTTATTAGGACGGGCTGCCTTTCCCGGGGTGAATGTGGGAGTTACGCGGGGTTATTGCACCGAACTTGGGAGCTCCTCACTGCAGGGACAAGCTGCCCAAGTCTTTGGCTGAGTCCCTGACCATCTGCTCCAGGCTGGGGTGTGCAGCCCCCCTGGCTGCCAGCTGGCTGTGGATGAGCCCCAGGCTGTGCAGGTTGAGGATGGAGTCTGCGATGATCCGCGCCGTCCTCTTCTGGTACCCGCCCGACGTCACCATCAGCACGGGGATCCTGCGGCGCCGCGCCGCCTTGAACACCACCTCGTCCCTCTTCACGATGCCCTGCAGGGCAGCACGGCCACGGGGGGGCAAAAAAACTGCTATCAACACCACTGACCGAGATAAACACCTGTCCTTCTGATCTGCTTGGGTCTGGGGAAAAAAAACCCCACTCTGAACTTTGAGTTGCAGGATCATTTACAGCTACTCTGTTGTAACCCAAGCCCAGGTGTGGGCTTCTTGTGTTTTCAGATTAAAAAAAACCACAAAACTAAACAACCAAAAAAAAAAGGCAATATTTGACTTCTTGGCACCTGAGTTTAATAGGATATTGGAATTGGAGATGATGCTGAACTTTGTATCAGCTTAGAAAGATTTCATGCCTGTCTTGATTTCCAAGAGCAGTGACAGGGCAGGGGGCAATGGCCTCAAACTGCAAGAGAGCAGGCTAAGATCAGGTGTTAGGGAGAAATTCTTTGCTGTGGGGGTGAGGCATTGGAAGAGGCTGCCAGGGAAGTCGTGGATGCCCCATCCCTGGAAGTGTCCAGGGCCAGGCTGGATGGGGCTCTGAGCAATCTGGTCCAGGGGGAGATGTCTCTGCCTGTGGAAGGCGTTTGGAACTGCATGAGCTTTAAGGTCCCTTCCAGTCCAGGCCATTCCACGGTTCTGTGAGATGCAGGTTGGAAGATCTCTAGCCCAGTCTCCTGCCTGGAGCAGCACAACCACCAGCAGTGGCTGAGGGCAGTGGTGCCTTCACGTGGATGAGGCCTGGGAATGTCAATTCATGTAAACCAGCTAACAGGACTTATAAATGAACTTTTAATTCAATCACTGGGGTGATTTTTGGGGTGTCCTGTGCAGGGCCAGGAGTTGGGCTTGATGATTCTTGTGGGCCCCTTCCATCTCCAGGGTATTCTGTGGTTCTGTGATATTTTAGTTCTAACCTGTGGGTTACGGATTTATAATACTGGGAAGTGTTTAAGCCTTACATTTTACAGTATAAATTAAAAGTTCATGTAAAAGTCCTGTTAGCTGGTTTACATGAGTAAACATTAAAAAAACCCCAACAAAACCCAACCCCCCCCCCAAAAAAAAAAACCACCCCAACCAACCAACCAAAAAAAAAAAAAAACCAAAACCCAAACCAACCAACCAAATAAACCAACAAAATACAAAACAAAACAAAACAAAACAACAAACACAAAACAGCATATCAAATATCCTGGACTAGTTTTAGAGGACATAGCAGCTAAAAGTCTTTAGTCCAAATTCCTAGAAGAATTCCTGCTCGAAGGACTTAAAGGTCTAAACTGACTACAAATTTTAGAAATGTTCACCCTATTTAATTGAGACTAAAAAAGATTGTCTGAATTTAAATTCCTTTAGTTTGTGCTCAACTTGCACATCACCCTCTGACTAAAGTTTAGCAACTCCACCAAGATTTCACAATCCCACAGAAGAATCGCAAATTCAAATCAGATTTTATACATTTACAATCACTGGCTGAGTTTTAAGTCCCAGTTTCTTTAATAAAAGCCTGTATTAAAGCTAAAAGAATCTATGGCTGAAGGGGGAGTTGCAGAATGTGAGTAACGGTAAACCCATTAAAAAAAAAAAAAAAACAAACAGGAAAAAGGAGATAAATTCTAAGTCATTTCTTACTAAGAGAAGGGTATGGACCTAAAAAATAACAAAGGCTGCTGACCAAGAGGAATTGTGCTGTCACTGAACCCAGACAACAGGAGAGTTTGAGCCTTCTGGGTATCAAAAAGTACATGTGGGGAAAAAACACTTCAAAAATGAGTGAGAACAGAACCAAAATTTACTTTTACTTTTTGTAAAAGCAGAGTGTTCCAGATATATATAACTCATTACAACTCCTCAAAAAAAACCCAACCCAAAAGCTTAGCAACATAACAAGACAGTGAATGGACAGCTCAGAACTTAAATAACTGCAAAGCTGGAGAAAGGGATCTGCCAGTAATTAGACCACAAACAGTTAATAAAGAGGAAAAAGTAAAATAATTTTGCTAATAATAATAAATGCTACAAATGTAGCAGGAAAAAAAAAAAACATCTTGTAAAAACACACAACAGTCCTGCTTATTGTGCAGTCTGACACAGCCCTGGGAAAGGACAAGGAGTAACAACTGGGCAGTGAGACAAAGGAAAGTGAGGAATTCTATTAGAAACAGATCCCTCAAGGAAGGCACAGAATTGCAGGAGGAGCTGTGGGTCCCACGGGGCCATCTCTGGCTGCAGCACTGTTATCCCACCCAAGAACTGGGAGCAGCCACTGTTCACAGGAGCCTCTGCTGCAGCAGCTCTCCTGGCTGAGCCTGGAGGAGCTGAGGGCAAAACAGGGCCCTATTCCCACCTTTCTGGGTTACCAAGGAAGAAAACAGATCCACCGGGAACAACAGCCCAGCCCAGTTCCCACTCCCACCCAAAGGGAACAGGGACTGCTGCTACCCCTCAGGTTTCCCTGCAGCCTCAAGGACCACGAAACCACCACCCAGAGCCCTGAGGAGCCCAATCCTGAGCAGAGCTGGCACTGCAGCAAGAGCTTAGGGACACCTTTGGGGGCAGGACCAAAGGCTGGACTGAGGAACCTCAAGAGATAAACCATCCAGGCACAGCGCCTTCAGTTCTGGCCCTTCCAGCAGCCTGGGATTCCAAACCTGGTGAAATGGGCCTTCTCCACACTTACAACAACCAGACCAGAGGCACAGCAACCCCTGCCCTCAGTGAGACAGCAAAGGTGGGAGCTGCAGGAACCTCTGCTCCACCAGGCTGGGCAGAGAAATGCACGCTCTGCCTTTCACCTCTCCTTGGGACCAGGAAAGCTCCTCCACCTTCCCTTCCCCATGCTGACATTCTCTCTCTGCACAGCACCCAGCAACCTGCAGCAGCTCCTCTGTCTTGGCAGCTGACACTGCTCCTTCTCCAAGGGCAAATCTCCACGTATTCCACACCTACCACTGCTGCACCAACCACCCCTCACACCTCAGGCTGTGTCCTCTCCAAGGTCAAATCAAGCCCAAACCCCTGAGCTCTGCCTTTGTGCAAGAGATCTGAACACAAAACTGAACTGATGGAGCGGTGGCTCCATCGGGGGGAACCTGAGAGAGCTCCCAGACCAAGCACTCCTCTGTATTGAACGGGTGGCCATTAAATGTGAAACAGGAGAGAGGCAGCACAGAGGAGCTGTCAGAGGAGGGATCATTAAAAACCACAGGGGAAACAGAAGATCTGGAGGTTTTCGTTTGCTCTGAGAAAAGCAGAGTGTTTTGGAAAAGCAGTGAAGGTGGGACGTGAAGGGACACAAACTGGGAGGTGAAGACTTCCATGAAGTGTACAGAATAAATAAAAATTAAAGCCTGCTAACAGTGGGGAGAGAAAGTACATGGTATCTGTAAGATTCAAGAGGTGTTCATTTGTTAGGAATACACAGACAGGCTGCACAAAATTGTTACAGCTGGAAGACACCACAAGGGCAGTTTAAAACAGCTGGGAGTGCTAGAGAGGAAATTAAGTGTAAGATACGTACTGGGGGCAGGTGACAAAAGAAATACACTGCAAAATGGGTCATGTGAGGGGAAAAACAAACCAAGCAAATCGGGAAAATAGAAGTCAAGTGAAGCGTGAAAATGTCTGTCTCTCTGGTTACTGCCTGGGAGCTCAAACCAGTGTATTTTAGAGAGGAGATGGATTATACTGAAACAGCCACTGGGAGGACAAAAATGTTTAGAGGCAGGAAGAAAAACCAAATTAAAAAAGGGTGAAAGAGGAAGAGACGCATCTCTGGTGCCTGTAAGAGGGAAATGCTCTGGCTGAGGGCAAAGGGTGCTCTTCCCTTCAGCTCCCAAACTGCCTGCAGGGCGTGTGGGGAGCAGGGCTGGGGATGGCAGTGCCACACAGACCTGGGAAACGGCCAGTCCTGCCAAGGATTCCAGGATGGCAGTGCCACACAGACCTGGGGGGAAATGGCCAGGCCTCCCAAGGGATCCCCATCCAGGATGTCGGTGCCAGCATTATAGACCAGGATGTCGGGTTTGAACTCGTTCAGGGCTCCCTCCACATGGGTGTGCACCTTCTGAAGGTACTCGGTATCCTCTGTGCCCCACTCCAGCTCCACTTTGCGTTTTATGGCACCTGAAAGCAAACAAACCAACCACTGCTCAGTAAGAAAAGGGCTGCTTTGAAAGGAAATGCAAGATTTAGGGAAGCAAGAAAAAAAAATAAAAACACATTTCTGGAAGTCTTCTCGATACATCGTATTTTCACAGAACTTTGAATTAAAGAAAATGACTCAACTACTTGTTTTCCCAGGAAATGTTAAGCACAATGACCTTGAAAAAAAGAAAAAAAAAAAAAAAAAAAAAAAAAAAAAAAAAAAAAAAAAAAAAAAAAAAAAAAAAAAAAAAAAAAAAAAAAAAAAAAAAAAAAAAAAAAAAAAAAAAAAAAAAAAAAAAAAAAAAAAAAAAAAAAAAAAAAAAAAAAAAAAAAAAAAAAAAAAAAAAAAACCAAACATAGAAGAGAAAAAATTACATTCAGGAGGAAAAAAAAAATCTCTAATATCTCTGAGATGCAAGTGGAAAATGTTATTGAAAAGCAGCTGATCTACATGTCCAGTTACCAATTAGCAGAGAAACCATAAAGGAAATTATTAACTTAAAAGCAACCTAAATAAAGCATAAGGCAAAGAAAACACTGAACTGCTATTGCAGAGGAAACAGCTGGGGGGAAAAAACCAAGATAAACATCAATGAGAAATTATGAAGATGTTTTATTTTTATCACAACACTCAAAACTTCACAGCAAAGGATCATGAATTTATGTGAACTGCTTTATGAATGTATAACAGGATTGAGCTTTGCCCCAAGCATTTTCAATTTAATGTTCTTACCCTGTAATCCTACCAAAAGAGCAAATATCCATTCTTCATTTAAATCAAATTATTTCTAATGTTTCTAATAAAGCAAGAGAAGTAGAAGAGGAGGGCTGAGAAGGTGAAGGGGAGAAGGGCAGCCTAGTTTGGGGGGGTTTTATGGAGGTATTTGTAATTGTACCTGTGAATTCACATCAAATCCCTGCCAGAGGTGTTCCAAGGAATGATTTCTGCCTCAAATTAACTGACTGGGATAGAGGGATTCAGCACCCCCCAAGTGTGCATGGAACACAGAATGACACTTAATTACTCTTGGGATTGCTGGGTAGGGTTTCTCTTTGCTTTCCATCCTAGTTCAACAGCAGGGAAGGATTCTTTATCATTCCTATTTTATTGCATCAGCGTGAGTTGCGAAGACTTTTGGGTTTTATGGCATTTTCCTGGATTCTTCCCTTGTAGTTACATGTCCCTGTAAGTCTGCACAGCTCTTTGAGCAGCGCTTGGAGCCTCTTCAGGGACCGGGATCTGGCTGGAGCTGTGGAGGACGGGACACTGGATGGAGGACACACAAGTATTGCTCTGATGGAACCATGAAGAAGCTGAGGGATGTTGAACAGGATCCCCTGCCTTCACAGGCCTCTTGCCTTCATCTCCACACAGACACAGAAGTCCAAGGAGCCAGTTGGAATTTACTCCCAAGTTCAAGCCTCTCCCTTGCTTCAGAGATCCCCTCTGCGATCCCACCTTTTCCTGGCCATTCAGCAGGAAGGATTTAAAGGATTTAGGCAGCAAAATCCTACTCAGACATTCTTAGGCAAGGACCTACATATTCACATGCCTTTGGCATCCTTAGAAAGGGAATGCTGGTATTCCCAGGCTCACAGGGGAGGGGTGAGCTCAGTGGTTCAGATTTGCTAACAAGGACTCACTCTGTTTTGGCCTAAACCCATCTGCTTAAATGTTGCCATGTGATATATTGAATTTAGGGATGCTTCTCCTGGGGGGCAGAAACCCCACATTTATTTGTCTGCCTACAGACATGATGTGCTTTAAATGGTCATTTTTTAGTTTAAAACCTTGAAATACTACAGTTCTCCAAATCTTTACAAGCCAAAATCCAGCAGTGCAATGCACTGCATCTCATTCCTGCCAAGAATCCCAATGAAGGCTTTACAGAACAATGGGATCACTGAAGACATCCAAGAGCACCCAACAACCTCTGACTCAGGGAACAAATTAGGCCTGTAATAAATGAGTGTAACAAAATCAAAGATCAAATCAACTTTGGGCTTTGGCATTCCCATTTAAGCATTATCAAAGCCCCACTAATTAATTGTGGCAGGTCACAAGACACAACGGGCACGTCACAGCAGGGATAAACAAACCACAAGCAAGAACAATCAAGCACCAGCTCCTGTCACTGGTCTGACAGGCTGCCCAGGGCAGGGGGAGTCCCCAGCCCGGCAGGGATTTCACGTGCATGTGGCACTTGGGGACGTGGGTTCCTGGTGGCCTTGGCAGGGCTGGGGTTGGACTCGATCTTAAAGGGCTTTTCCAACCTTAATGGTTCTTTCCCATGACTTGTTTTGCTTCCCAACTCATTTCACACTCAGATGCAGTTTGTTTTCTAGATGCCTACAAAACAAGTTCTGCTGGCAAGACAACACACCTCAATATGTTATAATTTATAGTTTTCAAAAGAACATGAAACCTTTTTACACAGCATCAGCTAACCCTCAGGGAGTGCCATCACAAATGTAAGGCAGAGATGAAGTTCTAACCATTCTCTGAAAATCCAAGGAGGATTTAACTCCCTGCTCCAAGCCTGGCAGGAGCACTGAACACCCACCCAACACCCTGCAGCCCAGGAATTCACCCCAGAAGTGAGGGGAAACACTGCTCTGATATATCCCAGTATATCACTGGGATATCATATATCACTGAAAAGGATGTGAAATGAAAAACATTAAAATCCAATTAACACTCTCGCAAGGAAACTTTATTAGTAACTGAAGTTTTGTAGCTGCACAGGAGGTGTTTTGGATAGTGGAATGTGAATTTCAGCTGTACTCACGTTTAGCAAAGCCATCCCCTGGGTAAATGTATCTGTTGTAGGCATCCATAATATACACCCGAGGATCATCCAGGAAGTCCCTCTCATGGCCATTCCCCTGCAGGAAATCCACAGTTAGTTATTCCCAGCACAGCATTAAACACACTGCAAATCCTGCAGCAAAAACACTACACAGTTCTAGTGCTCAGGACTCCCTGGGTCACTCATTTATAGTCTTGAAGGTTATTTTGAGGTGTAGAGGTTTTTTGTTTTTTTTTTTTTGGGGGGGTGATAATACCTGAAGACTGCAGGTATTACCACAGACAAAATCCCTGTGCCTTTGGGAAGGGAATTAGCACAGAGCTCATAACAGAGATAAGAAAGAAGAAGCGATAAATAGAAGATGAAAGTCCTCAGCAGCATCACAAAAGAATCTGTGACCACCCAACAGATGTCATCTTCCAGTTGTGCAAGAAAAAGTCCCTTTCAGCTGCTCCTGGGAACTGAGTGTTCCTGTGTGAGGATTAATAAATAAATAAATAAATAAAGCAGACTACAGCTCTCCTGGCAGTTCAGGCCTTGGTGAGATAAGTGAGCCCTGGAAAAACGACAAACACTAAAGGCCCAACAGTTTAACAATTTCTTGTATAACAACAGGAATTCCCTACAAAAAAACTGTGCTGGGGGCAAAACAGATGCTCGAGAGAAAATTCAGATTTTGAATATTTCCCCCTTCCCCATTTCTGAACTTAAATATTCTTCTTCTGGCTCTCGTTTAGACTTTTTTTCACTAATATAAAAATCATTTTTTCACAGCAATGACTAAGATAATGTAGTTTAAATGAGTGTATCATACAGCAGCACAGCCCCTACCCCCAGAAGAATTTAATTTAAACTACAAAACCAGACATTTCCACAGATACAGTTTCTGTAGTTCAGCTTTTATGCTAAAAAATGGCAACTCCAACTTATTTCTTCAGCATCTTTGGTCCACAAATAACCAGCTCATGCACACAAGTCTGGGAGTGTGAAAGGCTCTGATGAACCATTTTCTCATGGAAGGTGGAACTCGCCACTGCACTCAGAACTGGGACAGTAACAAGATGAGAAAATCTGCATTTTTAAACAGGATCTGCTGAGCTCCTTCACACACCTCCCATTCCCCAAAGGAAGGAAGCAGGGGGTGATTCCATGTGCACACAGAAAAACCAAAATACGTGCCAAGAATTTTTCAAAACCAAACCACCCCACCCCCCAAAAAGCACAAAACAGATCCACACCCCGAGAGAGAGAGAGAGACACAAAATAACAGTCCTGGTATCATGGCAATTTTAGGATGCAGATAAGGGAAGTGATAGAAGATGACAAACTTCAGCCATTAGGATTGCTCCCTGCCATGGAGCTGTTTAAAAATGGTTTCTTTACACGTAATAAATGACCTGAAACGCTTCAGATTGGACACCATTTTGGTGCATTAACTGCTAAAAATACCATTTTCTGACCTCTCAGGCTTTATTTTGTGAATCCTAGCAGAGCTGAGGTGTGATCTCAGTGCCCACAGTGAATCACACACCAGGGGAGGGGGTTGAATCTCTCCTTGAGGAGCCCGTGGCCAGGCTTTCTCTGAACACTGAGGGGCTGATTCCTCCCTGCAGAGGCTGCTGAACCCCTGGAATTCTGGCCCAGGAGATCCCTGGTCCTCATCCCGGCAAACACAGCAGGATTTTTCCATCCAGCCACATGATGGAGCTGCAGCTCAGGTTAATTTTACTGAACTGGCTTCAGAGCCTTCAGGACCACAAAATAAACAACAGAACTGTTCCCAGTTTCCAGCATCTCTGGTGAACTTTGTGTTCTGCCAGTCCAGAGTTTGCAGCAGCATTCAAAGAGGGGATTTGTCACCCACTTGTATTTCGAGCACAACATCTGCAGCACTGAACAACAGGTAAACACTCACCTGATGGGCATCCAGATCAATAATTGTGGCTTTAGACACCCCTGGTATTCTCTCAAACAAGAACTGGATAGACAAGCAAAGAAAGACATGGAGAAATTCAGGAAATCAGGTGGCAGATTAAACTGGATGCTTGACGCTCCCACAGTCTATTTGCTTCAGTCACCAAGTAAACTGCTAAATTATTCCAATAAATGTAGTTACAAAAGCTCCTCTCGTTATTTGGCATAGAAAGGTAATTGTTGTGGTTATACAGGAACAAAGCCTCTACATTTCCACCAGAACAAACACATTCAATATGAATTTGAGTTGTAGACTCACTTAGGCTGGAAAGGACCTTAAAAATCATCTTTTTCCATCCTGTCTTTATACAGACATGGTAAACCCCAAAGATTTTGTACAAATTCTCACCCACTATAATTTCTCAATCTGTTCTTTAATGGTAGGGAATAAAAAAACCAACCCACTGTGGGCTGGTTTTCTGCAAATTACCATGTACAGAAATTAGGGTGTTATGTTGCATGGCGTGCTGCAATCATTAGAGCTCTTTAATGTTTGATTATTATTGATACTTTATAAATATTCTATTATACAAATAAACCCCAGTTCATTTGGTAGAAATGAGCCCTAATTGCAGCAGGCTTTCACTTCAGCCTTTCAACAGCCAAATACCAAACGTATTCATTCACATTCAGTGACTGTTTTGGAGTCATTCACAGTTTTATTCCCGAGCCTGAACCAGTCTGAGCTCTGCACAGTGCAGTTTGACTCAGAGAGAGGATTTCTGTCCCTGCAGGCTCGACTGCAACCACTGCAACAACTGTGGAGGGCTCAGGTTCAACTGCCAGGCTCGGAGGATTACCACTGAGCAGATTAAAAGTCCACCTGGTTTGATCTGGAGTGGGTTCTGCAGGCCAACATTATCAATGCAACTGCAGTGCTTCCTATTTACACTGATAATTCTGACCCTGCCAGTCTCCACTCCCACCTCCCAGCGCTGCATGTCCTTATTCCCACCCCTCTGAAGATGGCTTCGTTTGCTCCTATTAAGGTGTAAATGAATTCTTAGGAATTTATGTTGGGTTTTTTTTCCCCTCCATTTGCACAAACAGCAGAAAACACTGTTTTAAGAGCAGTTCTTACCTTGATGGCCAGTGTGATGTCAGCATATGCACAAAACCCCCCCCCTTTGTCACTGGAGCAGTGATGGAAACCACCCCCTGCACGGAGAAAGGCAGACATCACTGACATGGCAGGCACAACCAGCAGCTGGAAAGGACCTGGAGAGTTCTTTTCTATGCTGAACATCCCCAAAAATATACTAAAAAACCCCCAAACCCCAAACTAAGAGCTATGGTGTTATCATTATTTGCAGATGCCATTGTCTTCTGAAAACACTCAGACCAAAAAGCTTTAGGACCTGCTCTTGGAAACAGGAAGGGAACACACAGTAACTATGACAGGCCTTGGTTGTTTGCTTCTAATGTCTGTTTAATTTTGAACCATGGCTATTCACTTTGGAGAAGAGGCATGCAAGAAATAATGGGAAAATCTGCAATGGGTGAGTTTTAAGAGAACAACAAGCTAAGGCTCCTGTGACACCAAATGTTGCTTCAGTGGCTCACTGGGTTTGCACTGCTGTTTGCTGTGAGCAGGAGAGCACATTTATATTCACTATAGCCTTCAGAACTTCTTCATTCAAGGCTTTCTCAAGAAAAACTGCACAGCCAAAAACAGACACTGACTGGTCCAGCTCTGCTCTCCCACACACCAACCCCTGAGCTGCCAGAACGTAGATAAGATGAAAAATATTTTATAATTTAATGAAAACAAAGATTGTATTGAAATATTTATATTTTGTCCAAACATTTTTCCTAAGTTTTTTTTTCCAAACACCTGCCCTTATAAATGATTCATATCTTTATTCCAGTTATATTTTTTCCTTCCCAAAAAGATTTTATAATAAAACTGCAACAGTGAGTGAGAGAACAAATCCAGTACTTTCTCCATTTTATTTTTCCTCTGGAGTTGATTTTAGTCAAACACCATCACCCCTCTCTGTTTTTATGAGCAGAGCACACACCAGGGAAATGACAATCCTGCTTTCCCACACACAATTCCAAGCATCACAGTGCCCTGTTTGCACTCACCCACGTTGATGGCCCAGCCTCTCTCCACAGCCAGTTTTCCTGCCTTAAAAAAAACAATTACAGTCAGAATTCCATGAATGAAGGAGGTAAATTGCACCCCAAGTAACTGTTGGCATGGAATCTGCAGATGCTTTAAACTGGAGGTGATTCTGATCCAGATCCCTGAACACAAAACTCCCCCTCAGCACCAGGAGTTGAAGGAGTATTTGCTGTGTCATCTGTATTTCCTTGTCTGGCAACTGCAGAAGGGAAAGGGAATGCTGGGAAGAGTTAAAAGGGAGCAAGGATATCACAGCATCCTTCCTGCCCATGGAGAGGCAGGAGGAATGTAAACTCAGCCTCCTGAAAACACAGACTAACACAATTCCAGCTGGGATGGGGGCAGGAAAGTGCTACAGTGTAAGGGTCCTGTGAGTTCTTATTCTTGAAATCATGCATGTATAGAATAATATCAACCTTTTCCCCTCCAATAGGGGGAAACTGTGCCTGTATCTCCTCAGTGAACTCAAATGACATTCAGGAAAGGGAAAGTACAGACAAAAAAAGAGGTACACAAGGCTCAAATGATGAAATTTTAACTGAAAAACCCGACTTGTTTCAGCCAGGAAGAATCAAGCAAGAGTTTAAGAGCAGTATTCCTTATCTGGCATGATAAAAAATGAAGATATGACTAGCTACAATTAAAAAATTTAAAAAATGAGAGAGAGAGGAAACATGTAAAAATGAATGAATTCTTGCCCATAGTCATGGAAAGGATATATTGCACATCATACACAAAATGAAGTTTGGACAGTCAGCTGAGAAGTTTTCCTCACCAATGCTTCCATTTGAACAGTTCTAATTTAGTCCTAAGGAAATGGTTGGGAAGGTAAACATCACCCTGATCTGATCATGCCAACTTACACAAATTAGATCTTGGGGAAAGATTGCAGCTTCTGAACTATAAAACCCATTAAGTCCCAGGGAAAGCACATTATCAGCAATTTATCACACTTCCTAGGGATTCCTCACCAAAACCCAATCTTCCCATAGTGCTAAAATATCATTAAAAAGTAGAGAAACTCAACAGGAGCGTTGGTGATAAAGAGGTGCATCAGGAATAGCAGAAGATGCACTCCTGACTGGCACTGCACAGATTTTATTGTCTGATTAATCAAAATTGCTTCTCAAGTACATACTTATTTCCCCGTAATGGAGGGGAAAAAAAAAAAAAAGGTAAAAACAACAGCATATGGCATCAGGATGAATCCCAAAGTGCCCAGGGATGGCATCTGTGTTTCAGGAGGCACAGCCAAAGCAGACAGCTGTAATAAGAGAAGTCTCTGCACGTCCCTGCTCAGCAGGACTTGCTCTGGGAGTGACAACCAAATATATTTAAGCACTTTGCACTATATAATGGCATAAAACCGAAATTCTTTCTCCCCAGTCCTCCCCATCTCTGCTCTTGCCAGTTCACCCCTACTGAACAGGCAGCACCATGAGAGAATTAAAGCAGAATTAGGAGCTTCAGATTTTGACATATCTAAGCCCAGCGTTTGGGACATCACAAAGGGAGTTAAGCCACTAAATAGTCCTGTTAAAAGATGCTTCTGAGCCTTATCAGTAGATATTTAAGCTTAGTCACAAGTCATCCAGTTCATTTCAGAACCAACAACTGGCAGAGTCACACACCTGCAAATGCAGCAGCTGGATGGGACACAGGTTTAACAACAGAGCACTAAAATACTGAAAGAAATTGCCACTTTTTTCAAATAAAGAATCAGGCACTTCTGTCATTAAGAACATTAAAAAAAAATAAAAAAAAAATCAGGATATTTCAACTGCTTCCCCAGGCCCTGGGGTTCCCCCATCCCTGTGCCAGCTCAGCCCCAGGGCAGGCCCCCAGACACACCCAGCCCCTGTCCTTGTTCCTGAGCACTGTCCTGCACTGCTTTTTATGCCACAGACGACCTTTTTATATATTATGTCTTAAATTATTTCTCTCTGAAATCTCAATACATTCACGAGAAGCATTTAAAAATTATTCCAGTGAGCCCTTGATTCCAGTGCAGATTGCCAAGGACCTGCATTTCTGCTGCCACCTCTTAGCCTATTCCTGAAAGTAATGCCAGCTTTTAGCATTCCCTTCTGGCTCCCCAGCCCTGCTCACCTTTGCTATCAATAGTTGCAATAAATCCTGTTCCCAAATCTGGCACAGGGCACTGTGAAAGGTTTGCCAACCCCACAGGACAGGGGGTCAATGACTGGCTCCAAACAGACACAGAAAAACCCAATATGGGCTGCAACCCCTTTCACATGGCCCCACTGCCACAGCTGCCTGCAGGGAGATCTATTTGTACCATAATATTAATCATTTCAGACAAGACTATTTGTCTTCCATTAGAACTGTTTCAGCTCTGGACCTGCCAAGAGAGCTCAGGACTGGTCCCATCTCCTCCCAGCACCAAGCTGGAGGGTTGGTCAACTCCAGTAAGACAAGGCTTGATAAAAACAGGGCAGAAAAGACCCCATTAGTTCCCAGTTCACACTTGTGAGGGCATGTTTTCCTCAACAGATGGTCTAAATACCTCGTTCTTGGCTCCAGCTTTGAACTGTTTTCTTTCCTGGTATTTCCTCAACATCTCTAATGCCAGTTCCCAGGCAAAATGAAATGTCTGGTGACCCTGCACAGCTCTTCTGAGCAGAGCCCTCCTTTAACTCAGGAGAACACAGCTCACTTGACCTCAGCTGAGCTGTTTCTGCAGGATTTATAACCCACTTCCCTCTCCAGGCCCCAAGACTTTGAGTTATATAAACCAGTACAACTAGTATTTGATATTAGTGTATTACAAACTCCTAGTTGAGTTACAGAAAACAGTTTTCCAAGGTTTACAATGTCTGATCAACAGGTTTAAAAGTGATGAAAAGGGAACCAAGAGCCCCTTACCATTATTGTTCCTCCTGTCTGGGTTCGTAGAGGCCTCAGAACTTTCCTCTGAACAACAAAATTGGGCAGAAAGGCCACGGGTGGGATTTCTGTGATTGTAGCCACAACAAAGGACCACTACAAGAGGGGAAAAGAGAGTTCCCATTATTGCAGGCTGCTTTAATGATGGCATTTAGCTCTCTCAGGAGCTCACAGGTCCTTAGTAAGATTTTTTTTTTAGATGGAGGTGACCCCACCACCCTTATCAGTGACCTCTAAATAGGCTCAGCCTCAAGTTGTTAACTGAGAATCACCACTTAGAGATTTTAGCACCAAACAATAATAAATCAGCAATTTCTCAGCAAGCCAGCATTTCAGAAAATCTAATATCCCTGGGGTTGGGAGGAAGGATTGTAGAATGTCCTTCAGCTACACTTGATAGATTGTTCAAACCTAAAATATCTATTCCTGTGTGAAATCAAAAGGATGCAGCAAGGAGAAAGGAAACACAAACAAACAGACAACTGAGCTAAGAAGTTCAAACACTTAAGTGAACACACAATGCAAACTTAAGCATGGAGAACTGATTAAAATTTATTTAGCATATTAAACGCTTCTGGAAAACATTTCAAGGAACAGTTTCGTTCCAAAGTCTTCAAGGTTAGAACACAAAATATTTGCAATATGTAAATGCCTTTTTTTGCAAACACATAGATTACTTCAAAGAACTTCCACTAGCACTGCTCCCAGTGATAACACTGCTAAATATATTGCAAAGCATAAGTCACAAGCAAGGATGCACCTGCTCATCCAATCCTGAAACATTTAGGGACAAGGACTGTGACTTCCCACCCTGCACAGATTCTGGATAGATCCATTTTCTTGAGAGTTAGGAATTATAACTGGATTTAGTGCATTTGTTGCCCCATTAGCTGTTCACAGCAGGATGTCTAAACTGGCAATTTGAACATAAAACAATCCCATCCCAATCTCAGAGTCCTCTGATACTCAAAATAACTTCCCAGTCATCAGTATTTCAGCTACAAATCACTACTGGGTGGGGTGGAGGGGTGGCATCATTAATAAAGGTCTTCCCAAGTACTAATTAAATTTTGCCAACAGTTCATCTGAAGCTTTTATTGCTGTTACATTTGAAGACACTATTCTGTTGACATGCTACCAGCTCATTACTCTGTTACCCAGTCATACCAAAGGGCTTTAATTATTTTTTAATACAGCCAATCTTGGTGAAGTTCCCCTTGCAAGACATTTTAGCTTTGGAACAAGCACTTATTCAATCCTGTTGTTCTCAAATGGGACTGACAAGGTCACATGTGGATAAAAAGTAAATCTGACCTCAGAAGTGAACCAGGAAGTTTTAACAAAGTTTAAAAAGATTAATGTCAGCAGGGAGAAGTGGGAGCAATAATGACCTAAAATCAACAATTCTGCTGCTGCAGCTTTTGAAGAGATGGTAAGAAATCTGTAAGTGGCAGGAGGAAGGAGCAGACAAAGCTTGCTGGGAACATTCCCAAAGACACCCCCTGCCCCACACTCAGGCCTGTGCTGAGCTCTGTGATTCCCAACACACGGGGCAGGGTCACTGGCTCTGAGGGAACTCCTGGGGTTCAGGAATGAAAAAGCTTCTTCACCCCCCCCCCCCTTAAAAGCTGAGGAATGCATTGCCTAAAACTGTGCTTTTTCCTTCAGCGTGCTGGTGTTGTTTTCCAGCATTTCTCACAACAACAAATTCCCAGGACAGCTGTGTACAGACTCAAAGAAGGGAATCACCAGGAATTGGGTTTATGTAACTGGATAAACTTTTTCAGGCTGTAAAAACAAAAACCTGGGCGAGCTGAGGAATGCATTTATTACATTTTCCAGGCTGTCAGTGCTTCCATAACACCACTCTTCACACATCAGTTCCCTCTGAGAGAGAACAAACCCTTCAAATATCTCTTTTTTTTTTTTTTTTAAATCAGTGTTTTTCATATTCCTGTATCATGGTTGCATATATCAGAATAATATCAGTTACTGTTTCTTCTAGTAGACATTTTCTGTCCCTCAGCCATCAGGTTATTTCCCTGGAAGTGTCCAAGGCCAGGCTGGATGGGGCTTGGTCTATGGAAGGTGTCCCTGCCCATGGCAGGGGGTGGCACTGGATGGGCTTTGAGGTCCCTTACAGCCCAAACTATTCTGGCATTCTATAAAATTACTGATTTTCCAGTAAAGTGCTGTAGGTATGTAATTATGTGACTTAGAAATTAAAATTTGGTCTGGATTCAGGGAAGAGTATTAATCATATATAAAAACTATTCAGCAAGTCTTCACTTATTCTTTGTAGTTATCAGCTCAATTTAATGCTTCCTATAATTTTTATTGCTAATACTGTAAGATTTTTTAAAATTACTTTCCTTTCTATATTTTGAATAAGTAATTCAACGGATGAATTTATGTTTCCATTTTTAAAAAATTAACTCCCTGTTTTCTTAAAAGGAGTAAAGAAGTCAGGTTAACCCTTAGCCAGGTGTATTTTCATTTAATAAATGGAAATATTACCTACTGGGCAATATCAATAACTGTGGCTAAGTGTAACCCTGTACCAAGATGTTGATCTCGATCCAAAAAAAACAAAACAAAACCAAACCAAAAAAAAAACCAAGCCCAAAACCAAAATGAAACAAAAAAATTTAAGAGTTCTTAATTCCCCTTTGCTAAAGCTCAAACTCTGTAATAACACACACATTCAATGAGGATATTCTTGTAGGACCTCACTTATAAAATGTTATTAACTTTAATTCCTGAACTATAAAACTCTTCACAGTAAGGTTAAATGTCTTCAAATTATTACCCTTCAAGGACTAAAAGTTAAACTGAAAACCTAATATGAGGAAGATGTAAAGCTAAAGCAGCTGCTTTTATGCTGATATCTCCTGGATTAATACAAAGAGATCGTCACTGATCAATCCCACCCTCTGATGTACTGCCTTTCATGTTATGCATTCACTGCATTCCAGCATTTTAAAACAGCCAACAACACGTCAAATTAAAAAAAAAAAACAAACCTATGCAATTTTGTTCTTTAATATCTAAATTTAAACTGTTTGAATCTTTGATAAGTTCCTGGAACTAGTCCCAGCTCCAAGGGGAAAATTCACGGAGTTACAAATCCAACACCAAGCAGCAAACGTGATTTCTATTTAGAAGCTTCCCTGGGACAAAGTTATCTGGATCCACCTTCAGGAGGGAGAGAAAGTATGTTTTTAGCTTGAATTAACACAGGATCAAATCATAAGGGACAGCAGGAAGGTTGCAGCTCTCCCAGGAGTTTCCAGTTAAGGTGATCGCCTGGAAGAAGGTGATGACACAGGGGGTGCAGCCAAGGGGAACAAGCAGACACTTTGATCCCACCCAAAGAGCTGGAAACATGAAAAGGAAGAAACCAAAGGCTGCCTCGTCCTTCAGAGCTTTGGCAGCTGCTTTATCTGCACAGGATGTCCCCCAGCACTTGCACAGGGGTATGACACTAAACCTGTCACAACTTGTTCCCTGGCACTGGAACTCTTGTTTGGTGCTTTCCCCAAGAACCTTGAAAATAACATTTTTGTGTATTCCTACAGACCCTTACCTGACACATTTTTACATGAAAACTGAGGTAAAAGGGATCAAGTTAATTGATCTCCTCTGGTGACCTTTTAAATTATCATTTTGCAGCCAAACAGCGCTTCATTAATGGGTCACCAAGACACACTCTGTGCTGGTTTATCTGAACACCCAAAGCAGCCACAAGTAGCACTGATTATTTCCTGAGCCTGCTCCTCCCTGAGAGCCCTCCCAGCTCCAGGCACTGCCAAACCCACTCCACAAAGGCACCTCTGGGCAGATGAGCTCCCCTGGCAGGGCAGGAGCCAAAGCACACGAGCACCATCAGTCCACTCTGCACCAGGTTTACACAGGGACATTTCTAATAACGTGATTAACTTCTTATTTCTAAACCTACATAATTTGCAAATCTATAGACCAGGACAGAACTGATTCCCAGTGCTAGATCTACTTGTGCCCATCATTCTGCTTCTCTCCACCCAACACTCATCAGCTGCAACCACCACCTCTTCTTGTAAGGGTAGGGTAGGAACTTCCTGCCAAATTCATGCTCAGATTTGAAATGAATGCTCCAGTGATCTGTTATTTTAGGAGACCTGGGCATTCCAAGAAAGAGAAGCACCTTCACACTCTTCAGAGGTGATCTAATATAAAACAACACCATTTATAGGTATTTGTCTGGATTTAATAAGTAGCACAGCAGACTTTGGAAAAGGCAATACAGAGGATACCCAGGGATTTTTCATGTCTAACCATGTTATTTTTCTTTTGCAGCTAAGCACTTTTTATCTCCACTGCTTGGCAGGAATTTGCTGGCATGACCAGCAATATCTTCCAATTTCTACAGCTGCAGGGAATATTGTCTCAGGAAAAGGGCAATGAGTGATCCCAGTTAATCCCATCTGGAAGCACACAAGAGTGTTGATTTTGACCACCAAGGCACGAGTTATGCAGACAATTGCCAGTGAAGCCATCCCGTGGGTACTGAAGATATTATTATGGCAGTGCAAACTGAGCTGGGCACATTCCACCCCTCTTCAAAGGAGTGATTCAGTAACAAGAGGTGGGTGGTTCTCTGGAATTAAAAGTTCAGTCTCAAGAATAGCTGCAATAAGATCAAACCTAATGATGTATGAAATTGCACAGAACTTCATAGCACGGAGTGGAGGAGCAGAAGAGAACTCAGGAACAGTAAGGAGTGGAAAAAAAGTTCACACAAATAACAGATCGCTGAGAAAAAGAAAACATTCCAGAAATAGCGATCCAAGGACTCTTCCACTGTGGAAGAGCATAGGTGACATAATTCCTTTTGAATTACGAAAGGGAAGATTTCTTCTCTCATACAAATCTCTTCTGCACCCCCAAAATGAAAGCAATGTCACCTTGCACTCATGCACTGCCCAATTCTACCTACAGATGACTGGATGTATGCAGAAACACATCTCACATGCTCATGCTCTAGAGTTCACTGAAGTCTAACAAATTTCATATAGAAATATCCAAGGAATATTCTTTATCTCCCGTGGATATGCAGTCCCTGTGAGCTGGTACTGGAAACCTTCACACACAAATAACTTGCAAGGCTGTTCTCCTCCACTGATCCTCCAGCTCTCTCCACATTCCAAGGACAAAGCCAGTACTGCCCTCCACAACAGACTGACCACAGAATCCCCACATGGATGCTCTGTCAACGTGACATACCCCCAGATTCCACAAAGCCATCCCTGCATTAGGAAACATCCCACAAAATCCTCCCAGTTGCTCCCCAATGCATTTCCAGTTTCAGAACCGTCTTTTACTGGAGTAAATCAAAACTTACACTGCTCAATATCAAAACCCTGGCTCTGAGGGGACTGCTGCATCTCAAATATTCAGATTTGCCTTATGTGCATTTTACTTTGCTGAAATATCATTTCAGGCCACCTCTTATATAACCCTTTGCCCTCCACCCCTCTACAGTGTGAGCAGCCACTCTTCCTGCAGTTTTCTTCCAGTATCCTCAGTAACAACCTGGTTCAAATACACCATTTATCAGCTGTGAAGTTGATTCTATAACAAATCCATAGGATAATGACACCAGTTCTGGACAGTTTACTGGAAAAGCAGATGAACAAGCACAGCACCTTTAATTTATTAAGGTAGCGCCTCGTGTGAACAACCAGCAGATCTTCATCAGTCGCCTCCCGTGCCTGTACAATCAAGTCATCTGCAATTAGTTTTTCTTCTGCAACAGGAGAGAGATAACAATTGGCATTGTACACCATGGCTTAACCCCCCGTGTCCCACCCTGCCAAAGGGGCTGTTCTGACTCGGGTGGAACAACGTCAGCTGTTGGTTGTTGCTGGGACAGCTTTGGTTACTCAGTGTTGGCACATTCTCCAAATACACCCCCCTCTGTCCCAGGTGAGTTATTCAGGGAGTGTGTATATGAGAAAGACTGTTTACAGCAAGTGTGATCATGGTGACTCCTTGTTTAAACTGCAGGAACAGACAGGTGGTGGCAGAGGATGGACACACACAGTGGAATCACGAGACACCTCAGTTCAGGGCTTGGCACACAGGGCAAATCCTGGTGCTCGTAACATCAAGTATTCATCACTTTTTAACACGCTTTAAGATATCCCACTGTTTATACAAGAATTTAATCCCCCAAATCACAGCAGAATAAAATAATAATAGATCAAAATTCAAACCAAAATCATTGCTTGGATGTTCATGGAAGCAAACCAGCTCCATTAGGATACTTCTGTCACACTCCTACCTCAATTTCATTTCAAGAAATACCAGCGACCAGCTACAAGCCCTTTCTCTTAAATACCAAAAGATAAATTGAAAACCTTTGTTTTGTAAGAGCAAGCAAGGTATCACTCCAAGATTTCATGATGTGAAGATCAAAGATAGCACATTTGAGTGCATCCACCAGGAAGTTAAGGTGTGGGCCAACCTCAAGGCCAGGTGGTGCAGAAGGACAATGGCACCTGGCACGTGATCACTGCTAACAACAATTATAAGGCATCCTGCTCATCTTCCCAGGCAGATTTTGATATTTAACTGCTGCATGGCTGCAGCCTCCTGTATCTTTTCTTCAATTTGATACTTGGAGGAGGAAGAAAACAACTCGGAAACACAAGAGATCGTGTTCTCAAGTGTTGCACAAGCAGAGCACCTGCAAAAACATTTGCCTTGGCAAGGCTGTGTTTCTCCTGAGGAACAGTTCAGTGGTGCCCTGGTGTCAGCCAGAGCCCAGCTGCTGCCAGCTTCCCTCTCCAGGAGGGAACACTCGCTCACTGGAGATTTTCTGATAGGAACAGGGGAGGTCAGCTCTTGCCAGAGCACCCCGGGCTGCCATGGAGCTTCTTCCTCCTTTCAAAGCAAGGACAGTAAAAAAGTGGGAAAACTCATTTTCTGTGAAAGACTGAGACACTTCAGAGCAGGCACATCACAGGGGAAAGAGCTGGAGGAAAAGACTTTCCACAGAGAAGGAAAAGAAAGGCAAAGGTTCCGATTAATTACAAAAACTGCCATGGAACCCAAGCCTTAATTATTTAAGGTTGTTAGAGGAAAAAGCCAAAACTCAGCTACTAAGTGTGTGTTAGAATTCACTTAACCTCAGTTAAATGAACACAAGGCAGCCTGAAGAGGGAAGGGCAACCCTGAACTGCAAAGGATTATCAGTTGAAGGAGTCATTAGGACCACATGAAGGGAAGAGGCCTGGCTTTGGGACAATCTCTGTATCTTTGTCTTGGCAAGAGAAAAAGCCTTTTTTTTTTTCTTTTTTTTTACACTTGGTGATCAAGCTTGCCCTTTAAATGAAGAGATGCCAAGATTCTACAGGCCCTGACCCTACCCCTGCTTCTTACATTTGTATTTCCTTTAATGAATTTCTGCCTGTATCTCCCAGTTGGTTTAAACAGCAATTCTGAGAGGCTTCATAAAATGCTCTGCCTGTCACCAGAGGCACCTCAAAGCTCTTTCCAAACACCATCAGAGCGATAGGATGAGGTTGCTAAAGCATGGATTTACACAACCTGCAGCTCTCTCTCAGCCTGAGCAGCACCATCTGCCAGCAGGCCAAGCTGAACAACCGAGTTACACCTGCAGCAAAGCATCGGTAGCACCTGTAGTTTCCCCAGCCACAGGAATGTCCCAGATCCTGCTACACCAGGTGTAAAGCAAGAGTGGCAAAAGGCCATAAGAAGCCACTCAGTGCACTCCCCCACTGCAGCTCAGGTGTTTGTAAGATTGCAGCTCACACAGGAAGGATTTTCCTTTCCCTGATCCTGAACTCAGGTCTGTGTGTTCTGACTGAGAGCCAGGCCTGGTCTTCAAAAGGAAGGACAAACTGCAGCTGCAAACAGCAGCTGTCCCCCAGAGGAAACTCAACAGAAATACTGCTCTCATACACTCACCTAGAACTGAAAGGAAGAGTTTAAATCACTAAAAGATCAGCCAAGTATCAAAACACTGTATGCTGAGCTACATCCACCTCGCTCAGCTGGGCTGAAAGCCAAGAGCCTGGTGCTCACTTCAGAGGTGGAAACAACTCTCAAATATCCCACAGGAACCTTTCTTGTAAAGGCCAGGCAATGAGATTCTGCTCACTTCAGGCCTTCCTTCCAGCTATAAAAACCAGAACTATTTTAGGATGGTCTAAGACACGGCTATGCTCACATTTCTTCTTCCTCCTTTTTACTCACAGCCTTGGAAAGCCCTGGGCCTGGCTGAGATGAACCAAACGAGTTACTCTGACTGGGGTTATTCGTGCCTCTGGGGAGAGCAAATCATTTCATGAGCCTCAATTTCTCTCTGCACAGACACCATGACTGAGCTGAACCTAGAACTGTGGGTTTATTCAGTGGAGCAGGCTAGAAAATACATTTCCTGAGGACTGTGAATCAAACCTTTGTGTTAAAAAGCCCTGGTGTAGGATGTTTGCTCTCACATTACAAATTAATCTTTTAAATTCTTCACAGACAAGATCTTCAACAATGACATCCAACCCACCTCAAAAACCCTACCATTGATTTAACTTGTTAAGACTTAAGTCTGCAAATATATAAAAATACTACAGCACTTTAAATATAATTAAAGAACGTAGCCTAAATCTACACAACAAGCAATGAAGAAATACAGTCTCTAATATATTGGCAACTATCAACAAGAGGCTGCACGAACCACAGAATTTTCTTCAGCTTTTATGCTGAAGTTGGTCTGAGAGGCACCTTCTAATTTTACCTTTCAAGAAATTGATTACTTTCCCCCATTTCCCTGCATCGAAGGGGTGCAGCTTCTCAAGTCCCATGAAGGTGATGTTGTAGTCTGGGGAATACACGATGGGCCAACATCCTGACGGGGGGTCCTCGTACAGCTCCGTCCTGTGGGGCCTTGACAAGCACAAAAACAAACTCAGCACCAGTTTAGAAACTCATTACCCTGGTTTTACCCCAAATTATCAACAGGAGTCCTTATCAATACCAGCTTTACATTGGGAATGATTCCTGCAAAATGCTTTTTCCAACAGTTATTGAAGGCAACACTTGGTTGGTTGTTCAATGGCTCTTTAGGGTCAGAGAGTTAAAACTCTTGAATTAACCAGTAGTGGGGAAAATAGAACAACTGACAGCTGAAAAATGCACACTAATGAATTATGCATAGGAAGTTCACTGCAGAACTTAAATAATGGACAGATTTGGTTCTCTAACCTTGTCTTTTCAAGTGCACCAACCAGCACCTCTACCTTCAAAGGTGCCTCCAGTCCACAGCCAATACAGGTCTCATATTTTAAAGTGTCTGTGAAAAAACAACTGAAAAAACCAAACCACGTTGCTCCTACACATGACACAAGCTTGGAAAGATTTCCAGGACCCTTTCCTAGAAGCAGCAGATTATCTTGAGACCAGATGAGCACAGTAAGAGGCTGGGGTTTGTATCTGCATAGCACAGAACCACAGGACCACACTCTTAAGTCCAGATCTCATGCCTGGAACCCTTAATCAATATCCTCCTTCATTCCTCCTCCAAGTTATTGTATTTTCCCAAAAATCTTCTTTTCCTTTCCCAGCTGGAGAGACAGCACAGCCCTCCTTCCCATCCATCAGTAAACAGGCAGTGCTGTGTATTTACAAACACAAACACCAATTATTGGGTGGACACTTGTGTGCACAAGTGGGTCAGCAGGCCAGGAAGCCTGAGAGGGGATTCTGTGCTCACACTCAGCCTGTTCCACCACCTGTGGGCTCCTCCTGGGCCCCAAACCCGCATCACCGAGGCACGCTGAGACATCTCGCTCCCCAAAATTTACTTGAAGTTTTCAAAAGGCTCCGCAATGCACTGGGCAAGACACAAGAGCCTTTTGTCAGGGGAACAATACACACAGAAACTCTCTTATTTCCAGCATAAATATGCTCAAAAACTGCCCTTTGAAAACCCAGTTATAAACAAACCAAACCAAGCCTGCGGACAAAGGCGGTTTTTCAGCAGAGCCCGCAACGCGGTGCCCACACAGAGCCGGGCTCTGGGCCGTGCCCTCACCCAGCCCGGGTGCAGACACACCTGTGGGCAGGTGCTGAGCCCCCTGTGCCCATCACACATCTGGAGTGCTGAGTCCCCTGTGCCCATCACACACCTGGAGTGCTGAGTCCCCTGTGCCCATCACACATCTGGAGTGCTGAGTCCCCTGTGCCCATCACACATCTGGAGTGCTGAGCCCCCTGTGCCCATCACACACCTGAGGGGCAGGTGCTGAGCCCTCTGTGCCCAACACACACCTGAGGGGCAGGTGCTGAGCCCCCTGTGCCCATCACACACTTGACGGGCAGGTACTGAGCCCCCTGTGCCCATCACACACCTGAGGGGCAGGTGCTGAGCCCCCTGTGCCCATCACACACTTGACGGGCAGGTACTGAGCCCCCTGTGCCCATCACACACCTGAGGGGCAGGTGCTGAGCCCCCCAGCCCATCACACACCTGGAGTGCTGAGCCCCCTGTGCCCTGTGCCTGTCACACACCTGTGGGGCAGGTGCTGAGTCCCCTGTGCCCTGTGCCTGTCACACACCTGAGGGGCAGGTGCTGAGCCCTCTGTGCCCAACACACACCTGAGGGGCAGGTGCTGAGCCCCCTGTGCCCGTCACACACCTGAGGGGCAGGTGCTGAGCCCCCCGTGCCCATCACACACCTGAGGGGCAGGTGCTGAGCCCCCTGTGCCGGGCCTGGCGGCGCGGCCTCGGCGCCGCAGGGGCTGCGGGGACTGGTCCCTTCGCCGGGGTCGTCCCCGCTCCCGGGGGAACACGCCGCTTCCAGGGGCTCCCCGTGCTCCCGGCGGGACATCCCTCCCCGGGCAGGGCCGCTCCCGGCCGGGCCGAGCCGCGGCTGCGGGGCCAGACCCGCGGGGGTTCGGGCGCTGCCGCAGCCCCGGCCCGGCCCGGCCCTGCCCTGCAGGCCCTGCCGCTCCACGGGCCCCGCAGCCGGGCCGGCCGTGCCCCCTGTCCCTGTCCCTATTCCTATTCCTATCCCTGTCCCTATCCCTGTCCCCGTGCCCGGCCCCGTCCCCATGGCCGTACTCACATCCCCGCCTCCGCCGGGCCGCGCAGGGAAGGGGCGGTGCGGCCGCGGCTCCGCCCGGCGCGGGGCGGGCCCGGAGCGATCCCGGCACCGCCTTCCCAGGGAATCGGCGGCACCGCCCAAGGATGGGACAGCGCAGCGCCAGAGCCCCCCCCAGCTCTTGGTACGGGCAGCTCAGGACTCGCAGGACGAGCCCTTGGTGTAATGTGGGAGCCGGAGAGACTTAACCCCTGCCTGTGGTTTTGTGTCGAGGGCCTGGAAGTGATTCCACGCATCCCTCCTGCTTTGGGCAGGAGAACACCGTCCTCTCCGCAGCAAAATTAAGATATCAGTAGCTGAAGAGATGTAGCAGGCCAGCAGCAAAATGAGGGGCACAGCGGTGAAATATTGATCTTGCCCAACAGCAGCAGAACTCCTGCTGATTTTGGCAGGTCAGGATTCATGCCAGGAACACCATCCCTAAATTCAGGCACACAAGGAAGCTTGACTAAGTATATACTTGACTAATCCTGCTCGAATATATACAGAAAGCATTTCTTGTGCAGGTGTACAACTAAATCAATAACACCATCGTGAAAGATGGTCCATCGATAGCAGCAATATCTGTCAAACCTGGCATAAACGCCCAAAAGCATTTAGGCATTAGGAGTAATGTCTTTTTATGAGCACTCCAGATACATACCTTTTTATGACAATTCCAGATAAATGTCTTTCTTCTTAAAATACACCAGCTTTGGTTTGACATTCAGTTTTGATGGATGCCCACACTTCATCTTGGTATTTATTTAGCAGCAGGAGACTGTTATCCCATGAAAACATTCTATCCCTTTGACATAATCTTTTAATTAACATTCCTTTTGTTCTGCCCCTTTGTGTGCTGCTTCAGTATTCCTTCAGCATATCTACCTTTTCTTTCTTTTTCCAGGCTACGTAAAGCTCGGGGCTTAATTAATTAGAGTTTGAGTGTTTGGTTAATAAGCTACAAACACAAGGTGGTTTTATTTCATTTTATTTATATTAACTTTTAGTTAAATTAAAAAACAACTTGCAGACTCGTTTCCATATTTGTTGGATGTCATAAATTCTTTTACAGATTCACTTTCCCATTAACAGGCCCTGGCACAGGTTGCCCAGGGAAGCTGTGGCTGCCCTAGCCCTGGAGGTGTCCAAGGCCACCTTGGACGGGCTTGGAGCAACCTGGGATAGTGGGAGGTGTCCCTGCCATGGCAGGGACTGGAACTGAATGGGCTTTAAGGTGCCTTCCAACTCAAATCAGTTTGGGATTCTCTGATTCTCTGATTAATCGTTTACACCTAAACCATTGACACCCACACTCCTCCAAATGGAGACTTTACTTAGTCATTCCTTTTTTCACCACCAGATATCAAATGACAACACCTACTCCTCATGTCCTCCAGTGCCACGTCCACATGTTTTTTGAACACTTCCAGGGATGGTGACTCCACCACTGCCCTGGGCAGCTGTGCCAATGTCTGACAACCCTTTCCATGAAGAAACTTTCTCTAATTTTTCTCATCTAAACCTCCCTTGGAACAGCTTTGAGGCCATTTCCTCTCCTCCTGTCCTCTGTTCCCTGGGGGCACAGCCTGACTCCCTCTCCTGTCAGGGAGTTGCAGAGCCAGAAGGTCCCCCCTGAGCCTCCTTTTCTCCAGGCTGAGCCCCTCCAGCTCCCTCAGCCCCTCCTGCTGCTCCAGCCCCTTCCCCAGTTCCGTTCCCTCCTCTGGAGACAATCCAGCACCTCAAGGTCTCTCTGATCCTGAAGGGCTCACTACAAGAAGTTTTGATGTTCTGTGATGGTGAAATTCATGATGAATGGGGAAATACAACAAGGGCTTTTCCATCTGAAGAAACAGTGAAATTATAGACAAAAGTCAGTTGTAGCAAATTCATGATACAGTGATGGCTGAGCCTACAGATCACTGACCAACCTCTGGGTCACCTCCCTCACCACTGAAGCAGTGTGAGGCCAAACGACAAGCTGATGCAACGCAGAGTGTTATTTTAACCTCCTGGAAACTTTGCCTTCCCGCCTGGAGCTGGAACAGTGCAGGAGTTGGGATAACCCGGGCAGATCTGATCAGGCCTGACATGTGCAGCTCTCCACCCCTCCCCTGCACTGGAGGCAGCTGAGCTCCCTCCGCATCTCACCCCTCTCTTGTCACGACAGCCCGTCCTCTGCAGAGGAATAAAGCACTGTGTGAATCAGCTCCTTCTGCTTCAGCTGGGAGATGCCAAATATCCTTCCTCAAAGGGCAATCCTTCGGGACTGACAGAGGAGCCGCTGCATCGCTAAAGCTTTGCTTTCAAACCTTTTGGAGTTGAGGTTTTTGAAACAGGTAACATGAGGGAATCTGGGGATAAAACCAGGAGTGAAATACTCGTAAAGGAACATATAGAAAAGGGATTTTTTTAATTTACATTGGGACTGACTTTTCCTGTAAAAAAAATATGAGAGTAACTCATTACCTGAATTTCCACAGTAATATAATTGATGCTTTTCAAACAGAAAATAATATTTTGAGAGCCTGTGCTGCTTGAATCTCTTTGATCCTGAGGGCTTTGATCTGCCACGGGGTGACATGACTGAGATCAGGCATTTACTTCGGTGGTGTGTTGAAAATGTGAAGTTATTGATTCCTGTAATCCAGCGGAGCAGAAAAAGGTCTGTGCTTTTTATAGCTCAGAAACTGATCCAGCTTCCCTCCCTTGCTGTTGCTCAGAGCTGCTGGAAATGTAAGGCCTGAGTATTCCTTAAAGACACGATTATTTTCCTCACAGTCTTATCTCCACTCTCATTACCCTAAGTGCTTCTCCCTCTCCGAATTACACCTGAGTGAAACTCTGAGTTCCCAAAACACAGCAAGATCCACTCAGCACCACTCTGTGCCCTCAGTGTCCCGCGATTTTCCAGGTGAGAGATGCTGGCTATTGCCACAGCATTCAGATGATACAAATCTCAGTGAGGGTTTATCCAAAATAGCCTTTCAATATCCATTTCAAATTCCCTGGAGGGACTCGGTGCCTTGAGCCAGTGATTGAAGCCCTAAGACTTGATTTACTCTCATACCCTGTAAACACCTGGAAGTTAGTATAAAACTGAACCAAAAAACCTCTCCAAGCAAGTGGTTCATTTGCAGGTCCCTTCAGAGGTGCAGCCTGCTGTTCACTGGGTGAACATGAGCACAGGAGGGAAACACAACTAAGTTAATTAGCACATTCTCTGGTACTCCAGATTAGTCTGCAAATTAATTTGTAACCATTCTCCCAGAGCATGTTTATATCTGTGTGTATGGTATATGATTTTTTTAATTTCACTGCCAGTTACAGGCGCACCCTGAAGTCTGGTACTCTGTTATCTATCAAAATAACCAGGGTTGTACATCGCACTTTGCAGTCCTAAGAACAACCAGATACGCAAAAACTGCTTTCATCTACTAATTAGCATGTTCAGCTGAGCACATTTAGTTGATATTTGCCCTGCTCTGATTTTTAAATGCTTTGATAATCTGAGAGATAGTTAGTCTGTTCATAATACACACGAAAGAGGTGAAGTGCAACACAAATTTCTGCCCCACCTTTCCCCAGTACATTCAACAGAAACACAATCAGGTACTCAGCTGGTGGGAAAAGTGTAATGAACACTGGCAAAATGGTTAAAAGGACTACTTAGACTAGCACTACTTAGACTAGCAGGAGAAGGTTAAATCTCAGATTTGAGGATATTTTTCGTTTCAGATGGCCACCTTTTCCATTACCAAGGTAACAATTGCTGCATTGGTACTGGAATTTAATCAAATTGGGGCTGGGGGAAGAAATGCAGTTTAACTTTCTAAAGGTATCACGGAACCCAGAATGGTTTGGGTTGGAAGGGACTTTAAAGGCCATCTCATTCCAACCTCCTGCCATGGGCAGGGATGGCACGCACTAGATCAGGTTGCTCAGGGCCTCATCCAGCCTGGGCTCAAACGCTTCCAACCAGAAGCTTGGAATTTCTCCTACCGGCAGCACAATCAGCATTTGCAGTGCCCTGAGAGAAGCCTGGGGTTCAGGAAGGGAGGTGTGGCTTGTGGGGAAAAATCATTATGGCCCAAAACATATTTGAAACATTTCCAAATCCATTACTGCTCTTCAGTATTTTCTGATTTCTGTGCTAGTTTCAGATTCATAAATTGCAATGCAGCAATGCCCCCAGAGATATCCTGGAGGAATTTCAGTGTTCACCTGAGCACAGCCGAGAAAAGCAAGGGAACCACAACAATATGAACCATTCCTGAAGGAACTGGCTTTATTCCAAGGTTAGGAGGTTGGGTAAGCTCAGAACTATTCAGAAACTCCTTCAGAGTCAAAGGCCTTCAGCTGAAATTCCTCACCAGCACTGTGAGGTGTTCACATGATTAGAGGGAGATGTCTTGTGATAACTAGATAAGACATTTTAATTGTTCTCAAATACCGTGGTATTTGAGACACAATTATACCACACAAGTTAGAGGTTTATCAGATAACTGGCACTCAAACTATAGAGGCATTATGAATTAATATCAGTGTTTTGAGTCACTTGCTTTGGCAAACAGGCAGCTGGTACAATCCAGTCCTGTGCCTGACATCCCTAAACCAATGTTTCCATGGCTGGATGGCAATGAAATGGTGACTGCAAGGAGACACCATGGTAAAGTGGAGTTGGATGAGGCC